TCAAACAAATACTCTTAGAGAACTAATAGTTGAAATCGAACCAGACCAGCATGAACTATTTTATTATATATTTCGTTATGGTTAGACTACTTGGAATTTGTTTAGGTAAGTTGTACCCTTTTTATTTGAATTTTTATTCATCAATAATTTATTTCAGTTTCACAAGACCGAACCTTTGACCACAAAACAATTATTTACGTAATTTGGTTATTACTTTAATGATATTACTAGATTTGTACAAGACGGACCGGACCGTTTGACCAAATTATATACGTTTTCATATATGATTTACCTGTGAGGTGCTGTGATTAAATATAATTTTAAGTGCTTTAAATCCAGTTAATTATACTCTAGTTTTATAATTTAGGAAACATGATGAATTATAAAAAACAAATTATACATAGAAGAAATGAAACTAGAAAAATGTATAGTTTGTATTTATTGAATATTAACATGAATGAACACATATTTAGAAATAAAGACCTTTTTTCGACCCAAAAAAAAAAGGCCTCTTTTGTTTTCCTTTTAACCGATACCATCTTTATTTTACAGAATGGAAATTTAAATATTCCTAGTTTTTCGATTTGAAATTATAATAGAGGTCCAGGACACTGTGGTCAAGTGGTAAAGAGACGGGATTGGGACGCTAACACGTTTCGCGAAACTAAGTCACATTATCCTGGACACCCACATGGATATGGGCTCTTACTTTCCGTCCATTTGCATATCTGGAGAGAGGGTCTATCCATGAGCTGCTTCTCCCTCAGGGATTAAGAAAAAATAATAATAAATTTGTTTTTTATATATAAGTATGTGAATTTCATATAAAATGAGAAGGGTTGTAAGTGTTTACAAAAAGATTAACCAGCTGGTAATTCCTTGCCAAAAAAAATTAAAAACAAAGAAGAGCCAAATGTAATGAGATGAGATATGTTAGTAAAAAGTGAGCCAAGTTTGCATCAGGTCACCATATTCCTTGCTTCCTCTCTTCGCTAGAATTGTGTTCCGGATCAGGCGGTTAATTGTCTTGAAGATAACTTGAGGAGATGAGCTGATGTGGTTGTGCAACCTGCAATTTCTTTCTTTCCAAAGCATATAAACAGTTGCTTGGGCCATTAATCTGCGCAACGATGTTGGCGAGACAAAGTCCTTCATTCCCATCCAACAGGAAAACGCAATCCAAGTAAGAAAAGCAAACGGCCTGTATCCAAGCCTTCTTACCACATAATCCCAAACCTTTTCACTAACTTCACACCTT